TTCTCTTTATGTGTCAATATTCAGAGGAAGAAGCAACCACCAAATGGCCAATAAGTTTACAAAAATATCAGTAGAAATACCTGATTTAAGAAATATATATATGTATGTATATACATATATATATGTATGTGTGTGTGTTTCAATCCATTGAAGTCATTATTTGATTTGATGCTCATATTGTGATATCTCAGGGGGGTCCATTCGGGTTGACTCCTATGTCCTTTGTTTTTCTGGGTGGGATCACTCAATATTTAATTATAACCATCTATGTTTGTATGGGAGAAGCCCTGGTTGTGCAGTGGTTAAGCATTTGCCTGCTAACCAAAAGGTTAGCGGTTCGAACCCATCAGCTGCTCGGTGGGAGAAAGATGTGGCAGTCTGTTTCTGTAAAAATTGTTCTTATGTGCCCTCTGGGCTGGTTCCAACTCATAGCGACTCTGCGTACAACCGACCAAAACACTCCCTGGTTCTGCACCATCCTTGCAATCATTGCTGTGTTTCATCTCATTGTTGCAGCCACTGTGTCAAACCATCTCATTGAGGGTCTTCCTCTTTTTCACTTACCCTCTACTTTAGCAAGCATAATGTCCTTCTCCAGGGACTGGTTCCCCTTATAACATGTCCAAAGTACATGAGATGAAATCTCACCATCCTTGCTTTCTTGCTTCTAAGGAGCCTTCCAGCTGTACTTCTTCCAAGACAGATTTGTGTGTTCTTCTGGCAGTCCATGGTATAGTCAGTATTCTTTGCCAACACCATAATTGAAAGGCATCAATTCTTCTTTGGTTGTCCTTATTCATTGTCCAGCTTTCACATGCATATGAGGTAATTGAAAATATCATGGCTTGGGTCAGACGCACCTTAGTCCTCAAGGTGACGTCTTTGCTTTTCAACACTTTAAAGAGGTCTTTTGCAACAGATTTGCCCAATGCAATGCATCTTTTGATTTCTTGACTGCTGCTTCCATGGGCGTTGATTGTGGATCCAAGTAAAATGAAATCCTTGGTAATTCAATCTTTTCTCCATTTATCATGATGTTGCTTATTGGTCCAGTTGTGAGGATTTTTGTTTTCTTTATGTTGAGGTGTAATCCACACTGAAGGCTGTAATCTTTGATCTTCATCAGTTAGTGCTTCAAGTCCTCTTCACTTTCGGCAGGCAAGGCTGCGTTATCTGCATGTTGGCAGGTTGTTAATGAGTCTTCCTCCAATCCTGATGCCCCGTTCTTCTTCATATTGTCCAGCTTCTCAAATTATTTGCTCAGCATACAGATTGAATAAGTATAGTGAAAGGATATAGCCCTGACGCACACCATTTCTGATTTTAAACCATGCAGTATCCCCTTGTTCTGTTTGAACGACTGCCTCTTGGTCTATGTACAGGTTCTGCATGAGCACAATTAAGTGTTCTGGAATTCCCATTCTTCACAATGTCATCCATAATTTGTTATGATCCACACAGTTGAATGCCATTGCATTGTCAATAAAACACAGGTAAACATCTTTCTGGTATTCTCTGCTTTCAGCCAGGATCCATCAGACATCGGCAGTGATATCCCTGGTTCCACGTTCTCTTCTGAATCCAGCTTGAATTTCTGGCAGTTCCCTGTTGATGTATTGCTGCATTTTTTTAAAATTATCTTCAGCAAAATTTTACTTGTGTGTGATATTAATGATATTGTTTGTAATTTCCACCTTCTATTGGATCACCTTTATTTGGAATGGGCACTTACACGGATCTCTTCCAATCGGTTGGCCAGGCAGCTGTCTTCCAAATTTCTTGGCATAGATGAGTGAGCACTTCCAGCATTGTGAAACAGTTTACAGACAGATTACAGCCTTGTAAACCCTATACGGCAGTTCCACTCTGTCTAATAGGGCTGCTATGAGTTGAAATTGACTTGACAGCAATGGATTTTTTGGATATGGTGCATTGGTGGTTCAGTGGTAGAATTGTCGCCTTCCATGCACCTTCCTGGCCAATGCACCTCATACGCAGCCACCAGCCATCTGTCAGTGGTGGTTTACATGTTGCTACAATATTGAACAGGTTTCAGTGGAGCTTCCAAACTAAGATGGACTAGGAAGAAAGGTCTGGAAGTGTACTTCCAAAAATCAGCCTGTGAAAACCCTATGGATCGCGATGGTCCAATTCACAAACAATCATGGGGATGGTGCAGGACCCAACAACATTTAATTCCTTTGTGCATGGGGTTGCCTGAGTCAGGGGCCCATCCAGTCAGCAGCTAACAACAACAACATGTTTGTACAGCATTTGTGTAATCTTTAGGCAAATATCTTTGCCTCAGTTTCCTGCCTTGTATAAGGAAGTTGGGCAAGATATACTCTAGAACCATTCCTGCTCAAAATTTGACTTTTGTGGTATTTTCATACATATTTGCTCATTTGATTCTCCAGGGTTTCGACCTAATGCTGTTTTGTTGTGTTGCTGTTGTGTGCCGTCGAGTTGATTCCGACTCATAGCGATCCTATAACATAGAGTAGAATTGCCCCATAGGGTTTCCTAGGCTGTAAATCTTTATGGGGGCAGATCACTCGGTCTTTTCCCCCTCGGGGTGGCTGGTAGGTTCGAACAGCTGACCTTCCAGTTAGCAGCTGAGTGCTTTAACCATTGTGCCACCAGGGTTCCTTGTCTTCATTTTAGACATTGGAAATTGCCACTCAGGTGACAGTATTCTTTCTACTTTTCTATACTGCATTTTTTTCGTTAGGCTTCAAGTAGTGGTTCTCAACCAGGGGCAATTTTGCTCATCTCAGGTTACTTTTGACAACGTTTGGAGACATTTTTGGTTGCCGTAACTGGCATCTAGTTAGTAGAGACCAGAGAAGCTGCTAAACATTCTACAATACACAGGACAGCCTCCTAACAGCTGACAATTATCCTGCCCCAAACGTCAATAGAGCCGAGGTTGAGAAATCCTAACTTGAAGTACCCCATAGAGATAAAATCATATTCCATGCAATTTAATGTTTAGTCAAAGAAAGGATGTATAAAAATGTCCACATCTGAGAACTCATCTGTACATGAAGGAGAACAATGGAAGAGTCCATTTTCAACATATCCATAGAGCTTAGTCCTCTGATGTTCTTCTGCACTTTCCCCTTCAGTATTATTTCTGGCTTCTGTTTTGCCCCTTGAGACCTTGCTATTATTGGCTAAAGGGAAGATTAATGGACAATTTTCTACTGTTTTCAGGCCAATGGAAGAATTTTAGACCTCAAAAAAAATTTTTTTTTTTAAACTTGGAAAATAAACCTCAAAATAAGTTTAATCCCAAATAGCAATTAGATTTTTCTGGGTCATGATTCCTCTTTGCCATTTTGGTTGGCTTAATGGATATTTTCAATAAACCGTTAGCATTAACTTTTAGTGTTATTAAAATTACTGCCCTCTACTCTTCCTAGCTTCTCCTGTAAAATACAGATTCCATTATTATTTTCTTTGCTGTATTTGCACTGATTTAAAAAAATACAGTTGGTGCTAAATTAATTTACTATTGGCCACTGCTGTAATGGAACTCCTGTTGGCAAAGTGATTAAAAGCTATGGCTGCTAACTAAAAGGTCAGCAGTTCGCACCCCGCAGCTGCTCCTCAGAAACTCTATGGGGTAGTTCTACTCTGTTCTATGGGGTCACTATGAGTCGGAATCGACTCAACGGCAATGGTTTTTTTTTCTTTTTTCTTTTTTAACTGCTATAGTGCCATGTCTTTTTCTATTCAAAAGGTCAATTTGTGGACTAATACTTTGAATCTGATTTTTAAAACAGGCAGTTAATTTGTCAGAAACAAAAAATGCAGCTTTTTCTTTTCTTTTTTTTTGGTTCAACTTTGAAGGAGAGAAGTGCATTTAGTCACTTTATATCAAGTATTCACGAAGTTTCTCTTACAAGAACATGTGCTCACAGCTTGTCATATTTTATTCACGAATTAAAAGAAAAAGCTTGCTATCACGTTATGACATTGTTTTTTCTCTCTTTTGTGTTTTGTTAAGGTAAATGTCATAGCTAAGGAGTTTTCTTGACTGGGCACTATCACCAAGGATGTATTCTGAAGTAAAACATCTTGAGAATAAATACTGAGAACAATTTTCTTGGGTTTAAAGTTCCTGCACGTCTCCTAAATTTTATACAGTACTAAGCCCAGTTGTATCTCTGAGAAGCATGTGTATTCTCTCACGTTGCTTTCTGAGAAGAAAACTTACAACCCAGAAAATGTCACTTCCTCATTTTTACTTCCCAGATTTATTCTAGATATTTTATTTTGTTATATATCCTTTATTAGTTCTGAGTATGCATTTAAACAATCTACAATTTCTCGAAATCTATTTGCTTTCATAAGTACTGTACCAGTTGCCATTGAATCAATTCCGACTCATAGCGACCCTATAGGACAGAGTAACACTGACGCATAGGGTTTCCAAGGAGCGGCTGGCGAACTTGAGTTGCTGACCTTTTGGTTAGCAGCTGAGCTCTTAACCACTGTGCCACCAGGGCTCTAGAATATACAGAAACCCAGTCTAAATCCTAAAGAGGTCACACTGCGACACAGTTAAGGTACACACGTGCCCAAATGCTCTCTCCTGGTGAGGGCTGGTAATCAGCTGATAAGTACAAGACAGTCAGCTAGTTGTTAAAATATTAAAGTAACTTCCCTATTGCTTGGCAAATAGCTGCTGCTGTCTGTCGCGTTTTGTCTAGGGCAGGGGTTCTCAGCCTCAGTGCTATTGATATTTGGGGCCAGATAACTTTTTGTTGTGGGGCTATTGTAGGATGTAGGATAACTCTTTTTCCTGTGCATTGTGGGATGTTTAGCAGCATCCCTGGTCTCTACCCAGTATACGCCAGTAACCCTCCCCACCCCATTCCCCCTACAGTTGTGACAACCAAAAATGTCTCCAGACATTGATTGCCAAATGCCAATTGCAAAATCATTTCTGGTGGAGAACCACTGATCTAGAGCGGAAACGTCCAGTTCTGGCGTGGGCACGAATGGTTAACAGCCTGACTGGGAGCTGAGAATGTTTTGCCACGGGCATTGCACCTGCGAGTTGGTTGGTTTGTACAGGCATGTTGTTCGTCTGACTGCCTTCCATGAACATGCAGAGCTCCAGCGTCCGCACGTTCTCTAGTATGTTCACGTTGATGCTCTGGTTGAGTCACACAGTGGCGAGCAGGCTGGTTGGAGCTGTGAAGAGTCTTGTCTCAAGCGTTGCGTTTTAAAGGCTTCAGGTACGTATATCCATTTGTTCCCTCTGGTGGTGTTTCAGGATGAATTTATGTCCACATATTATGCTCTCAAACTTCTGTCTTTTTATCTCTCTCTTGGTTAGCGTACTCCAGGTTGCCCTTGCCCACTGTTATGGACTGACTTGTGTCCCCCCAAAATATGTTTTGTATATCCTAAGCTTTATGCCTGTGGTTATAATCCCATTTGGGAGTGGGTTGTCTTTGTTATGTTAATAAAACAAGATTAGTGTAGGGTATATCTTGAGTCAATCTCTTTTAAGATATAAAAGAGATAAAACAAGCAATCCAGAGATGCAGAGATGAGGGAAGCGAGATGCCAAGCCACATGAAGACTGCCCAGGAGCAGAAGCTCAAAGAGACAAAAACCTTTCTCCAGAGCCAACAGAAAAAGAAAGTTTTCTCTTAGAGCCAGCACCTTGAATTCAGACTTCTAGCCTCCTAAACTGTGAAAAAATACATTTCTGTTTGTTAAAGCCACCCACTTGTGGTATTTCTGTTATGCAGCACTGGATAACTAAGATACCTGCCATGCCTGAGGAGAGCGGGTTTCCTCACTACTGTTGCCCATCAATTATTGGAGAAGTTGAGGGCGATGTGCTGTAGCTCACTGTCACTTATCACCCCAGCTTTAGGCACTCTCAGACATCATTTCCTAGGTCGCCTGCATTGTTACAAAGATACAGGGGAACGGCTTTCTCCGTGTTGGCTTGATGTGAAGGGCCCTCCTGAATGAAGCTGGAGGTATTCTTGAAAACCCCCTGGAGGGCAAACCGCAGTCCACACAGGTGGCAAGTGTAGAACTATGGAAAATGTCCCCTCCTCTTTATGGTGCTCAGCTTGGCCAGGGCTATCGGGAGGGATGCAGGCTTCCATCAGAGGAAGAAGCTTCTCTACTGGGAGGTGGACACAGGTTCTGAAGAGAGGGAGGCCTGCAGTGGGTCTGAGAGCTGGGAGACCTTAGGCACCTGTGCCTGGCTATCCTGGATCCATGGCCTTGGTCCTCCAGGTTGTTAGGTGCTGGGGCTATCTTAGAGGCCTATCTTAAGTGATCTGTGATCTGAATGCCATACAAATGAGGAAGATAACAGATAACCTGGTCAATGAGCCATAGGCCTTTGGACAAGTCTCTTGTCTTCTCTGGTCTGCTTGTGTCCCTATAGAATGACTGGGCTGGGCTGTCTCCAGATTTCCTGAAGGCTGTCCAGTGAAGATGTTTGGTGGGGACAAAATGATCTGTGGCCAAAGAGACTCAGGAAACACCATGTCCTCCAGCATCTGCTAGAGATTCATAATGTGCATAAACATATGAGAAGCTCTCTGGAACTCTCTGCACCCAGATATCCATGCGGCTAACCCCCTACTTTTCTCCAACATTACTTCCCTAGAGATTTTCCTGATCATTCAAGTACTCAATCCCCTATCACCTCCTATTCCATCCCCTGCTTTATTTTTCTTCACAGCACTTCTCCTTTTCTGACATGATATCATACTTTTATTTGTTCATTATCTGCCCACTTCCCCACCCAGAATCTGACCCCTGTGGAGTCAGTGGCTCGGTCCATTGGTTCCCAGTTTTAATCTTAGCACTTAGTAGGCACATAGTAGGTGCTCAGTAAAAAATGTGTTGACTGAATAGACTTTAAATTGGGAATTCCCAAAGTGATTTAATCATGGGCCCTTCTTCACATTCATTCATTAAAATGAGGGGACGTGCTCGGGGAATCACCAGGTGAGAGCGTCTCTAAAGTCCAGGTAGCTGTGGTCTTCTAGAGTTCACGTTTCTGGTATGAGCTACTTGGTTCTAATATACTGGCAACATGGCATTGAACTAAAACCAGACAGAACGGACTGACTCGTCCAACTATCCATGATAGGAGTGGCTGTCATATGAACTGAGAACCAAGCTGTGTGCCAGGCTGACCCCAGGACCAGCTCAACTGGCTGAAACTATGTGGTCCTGCAGCTGCATTCCTGAAGCTGGCTTTCTGCAAAGATTCTTCACAAATTGCTCATGGCACCTGGTGAATTTTCTCAGAACATGTTTTCAGAAATGAATCTGAAGCTCATGGTTATGGGTTGATTTCTGCCCCCCAAAAAGATACATACATTGAGTCCTAACCCCTAGTACCTGAATGTGGCCTTCTTTGGAAATAGCACCTTTGCAGATATAATTAGTTAACATGAGGTCATTCTAGAGAAGAATGAGCCCTAATCCAATGTGACTGGTGACCATATAAAAAGAGGAGAAGAGACACAGAGACAGAGAGACAACGGGAAGATGGCCATGTGAAGACGAAGACAGAGATTGGAGTGAGGCTGCCACAAACCAAGGAATGCCTGGGGCCACCAGAAACTGAAAGAGACAAGAAGGGATCTTCTCCTGGAGCTTTCAGAGAGGGCATGGCCCTGTTGACATCCTGAATTCAGACTTCTAGCCTCCAGAACTGTGAATAAATTTCTGTTATAAGGTAAGTTACCCAGTTTGTGGTAATTTGTTACAGCAGCTGCAGGAAATTACTACATTCCCCTTTTGGAGAAGTGCTTATATCTCAGACCAGTTCTCTATCTGTATGTGGTGGGAGAGTCACAGTTCTCACTTACTCTTTGCTTTCTCCTTGCCAGGTACAGGGTATGCATTTTTCTCATGTACCCACCATAAAACTACTAATCCTCATTTTACTGGTGAAGAAACTGAGGCTCAGAGGGGTCAGAATCCTTGCCCAAGCTCATACTTCCAGCAAGTGGCAGTGCTAGGATTATAACTGGGTCCTCCTTGCGCAACACAGAGTAAGCCCTAATGTAAACGATGGACTTTAGTTACTAATAATATACACATACTCCTCACTTATCGACTGTCTTGTTCTGTGACATTTCATATTTACAATAGTAAAAAATGTACTATCTGACTATTTGGCGCATTAACAATGTACATCTGGCAGTAATGAATGGTGAGGCGTGAGGCAAGAGTAATGCTGGCTGTGATGGTTATGTGACAACTTGGCTCGCCGTGATTCTCAGTGGTATGGCAGTTATGTAATGATGTAATTTGGAAGTTATGTAATGATGTAGTCATCCTCCATTTGGGGAGCTGATGTGGTCATCCTCCATTTTCAGGTAACAACCTGGTCTTTGGAACCTAACCATGTTGATAAAGGCTTCAGGTAACATTTTCACATAACAACCTGGTCTTTGGAACCTAACCATGTTGATAAGTGAGAGTGGGTGCATTAATATTGGCTCATCAGTTTTAACAAATATGCCACAGTAATGCAAACTGTTAATAATGGGAGAAACTGTGCAGAGAGGGGATATATGGGAGCTCTGTACTTTCTGTGCAATTTTTCTGTCAACCTAAAATGGCTTTAAAAATAAAGCATAATGCATGCCACAACATGAATGAACCTTGAAAACATCATGCTAAGGGAAATAACTCACTCACTTATATGAAATAAACAAATATATACAATCCAAAGATTATTAGTGGTTACCAGGAGTGTGAGGGAGAGGGAAAGGGGGAGCTTTTGTTTAGAGGGCAGTGAGTTTATGTTAATAGTGGTGGAATAATTTGGAAAAGGATCGTGAGAATGGTGGCAAACAAGAAGAGTGTGATCAATATCACTGAATTGTACATGTAGAAACTGCTGAATTTGGTGTATGTTTTGCTTTGTATATTTTCACCACAATAAAAAAAAAAGTATATTAATAATAATTGAAAAAACACTAAACAAAAAGCAAACAAAAGTCCCAAGCCTTCCCTGGTGAAAGCTGTCTCTTTCCCTCCACGCTTGCAGACAGAACTGGGACCGCCCTTTCGTAACTCTGCATAGGTTTGTCCTAGAAGCTAAATGGTTCTTGCTGGCGCCTTTAAGACAAATGTGCCCATTAATCCTCAGAAGGGCTCTCCATGTACTGCCCTTTGCAGCTCGTGGTTCAATCGATCTGTCCATTTCTGGTGATACAGCGGAGCCCCGTTTTGAGTATTGCTGCACACTCGTGGATTTATTTTGGCTTTGCCGTCTCACGCTTGTCCATACAGAACTGAGTCATCTCAGGACAGCTGGCATCCAGTAACAGAAACCCACTCCAACTTGCTTAAGCAAACGCAGGGCATTATTGAAAGCAAACTGAGACAAGGCATAGATGCAACGGGCAGGGAGTGTGGCCAGGCTAATGTGTGTCCAGAACCAGGAAATGCAAAGCAGCTAATCTCTAAGACTCTTGCTGGGTAGGGCTGTTTGTTCTGTGACCCTCTGCTCCATTCGCCTCTTCTTGCAGACCAGTTTTCTCTGGGCACAGGGCTACCCTGCAGCTTTCAAGTTTATTGTATCCCATTTAAGTAGCCAGTCCAGATGACCACGGTCATTGTCACCCAAGGCTATGGGACCTACCTTGGGAAACGCTGCCCAAGCCATAATCCTTCCTAGAATAGGGCCTGACACGTAATAGGAGTTTGATAAATATTGGCAGAACAGAAGAATCCAGCTGGTTCAGCAGCATGCATCAGGCAGCACTCTACACTGCACGTCAAGGTCATGCTTCATGCTTCAAGGCCTCAACCACCTGGGGTGGCTCCCCTTTGCCTGAATGTAATCAGCCTGAGAAAAGTGAAAATCAAAATCAAGTACAGGTGGAGTATCAACTACTGGGCCAACACTGAGGACAGCGCAAAGGCAGGCCCTGTCTTTAAGGACTTCAGCTAAATCTAGGATCAAAGCTAAAAGGGGAATTTATTGGAAGGACACAGTGTCTCTTATGGAACCCAAGGGCAGTATTATAGCTGGGCTTACCATGGGACAAGGACCAACGACTGGAGAGTCATCAGGAAATGAGGCAGCCACCTCTGAGGCCTCATTTTTCATGTCTGCGTCTTTTAGCGGTTAGCGTCACTCTCTCTGTAGAACAATTTCCCCCATTTCACTCACTTATGGTCCAGCATGCTGACCCCTAAACAGCCCCTAGTTACTAGTTACACATGACCCAACCTGCCTCTAGAACCCAGGACCCAGTGCCTGGAAGAGACTTGCCCTGCCCAGCTCAGCTTCTGATTGGCTCTCCTTGGTCAGGTGGACACACACCTCAGGTCCAATCAGCTATGGCCTGGCATGGGTGCGTGGGTGGAGGTCACATGATGCAAAGATGGCTGTCAATATTCATCCTTTAGGGTGGGGTGGAAATTTTAAGAACCCTTAATTAGTTCAGATTTCTTCTGTCTGCTCTTTCATAGCCCCAGTGACATTTTGGGCCCAAGAACAGACAGGCAGCTTGTATTTTCTCCCCCATTTCTGCCTTCTTATATTCACCCCAGGAACAGAAATGTGATGGGGAGTAAAGGAAAGGGCTAGGGTCTTCCTTCTGGTTTTTGGCTTTTTTTTATTTTTTGGCTTTGTTTTTTTTTTGATAGTCAAAGGCAGCGAGAGATCTCTGAGGATAAGGATAGACCTCAGTGGCATCACTAGTGGGGTGTGGACCGCATCAGGTGACACTGTCAGAGAGGGTGACACCAAAATGAAGGTCTATGAAATTTTCATGCAATGTTTCAGTGGAAATTTATTATTTTTTTTATAAAAATATCCCTGTAGTTAGTTATAACAACCAAAGACATTTTTCCAAAGCCCAGCTTACGTGTATCAATATGCCTACAAGGCTAAAACTCTATGCTAATTTACTTTTTGAACCTTCTAATGCCCTCCAGTCAGAGCTGTCATTATTACCCAATTACAATGACACTTCAAGTCACATGGTTTCATCTGCATGCGCTACAAGCACCCGCAGTTGATTTTGTTGTTGCTGGTGTTTTTATAGTCGCTGATTTTGTCCGATTTTCTGGTGTTTTAGTTACAATATTATGGTCATTAGTATTTGTAAACCTATATCAATAACTTTTTTGAGAATGAAGTAGTAATTAAAGGAAAATAAGGAGAAAAGGCTTCTGCTCAGTTACTAACAGTGTTGTAACTAATAATGTTGTAATTTGACGTAGAAAGATTTTACAAAACGATTTTGTTGTCAGTATTCATATAATCTAAGAAATACTACATTTAAACAATTTACAACTATATTTATCACACATTATTCTATAATTGAAACTAGTAACATCAGTACAAAAAACATTACAAAGGATTCTGTGTGGTCTTGTTTGGGAGGAGGTCCATGGGAAGAGGGTGACACCAACCCTAGTGACGCCACTGATAGGTCTGAATCCACAAGCAAAGAGGATGAGAGCACCTGGTGGAATTTTAAGGTGAAGGTTTTAACGTAATATTACAGATAAATTCCTAGCCTTTCTAGGCACTGTCTCAGGCCTTCAATCTATGGTTCACGTTTCCGGCTAACATTCTCTCTGCCTTCATTTTAGCCAGAGGTGAACCTATGCACTGTATTTTACACATCAAATTGTTATTGTTAGCTGCCCTTGAATTGGCTCTCGATTCATGGCAACCCCTTGCACAACAGGATTAGATTGTTGTGATCCGCAGGGTTTTCATGGGCTGATTTTCCAAAGTCGGTCACCAAGCCTTTCATTTTGGTGTGTCTTAGTCTGCAAGCTCCGCTGAAACCTCTTCAGCATCAAAGCCACATGGCAACCTGCAGTGATAGACGAGTGGTGGCTCAGCATGCGGGGCATTGGCTGGGAATCGAGGCCAAGTTGCCCGCATGGAAGGTGAGTATCTATCATATATTCTCTGAATCATATGAATAATTTTCCATGGGATCATTGCCACACATGTAAAACCGTCAGGGTCCCTAACTGCTATTCCCACAGCACTCCCACCATGTAGTAAGAGTCACAACAGCGTGCATTTACAAGGGGGCCTAGTGTCTAATGAGTTGAAGATTAAGCCCGATATTACTTTCCTACAGCCCGTGTAACAAACCACAAACTTGGTGGCTTAAAACAACAGGAATTTATTTTCTTACAGCTCTAGAGGCCAGAAATCCAAAATCAGTATCATTAGGTTGAAAACAAGGTGTCGGCAGGGCTGCACAGCCTCTAGAGGCTGCAGAGGAGAACCTGTTCCTTGCCTTCTCCAGCTTCTGGTGGCTGTCAGCCTTCCTTGACTTGTAGCTGCATCACTCCAGTCTCTGCCTCTCTAGTCACACTGCCTTCTCCTGTGTGTGTGCGTGTGCATCTATGTGTGTGTATGTGTGTGATATCTCCCTTTGTTTATCTCTTACAAGGACACTTGTTATAGCATTTAGCCCGCTCCGGCTAATCCAGGATTATTGTCTTGTCTCAGAATTGCCTCGTCTTAATTTAATTACACCTGCAAAACCTTTACCATGTAAGGTAACATTCACAGGTTCCATTGGATTAGGGCCTGAGTATCTTTGGGGGCCATCATTCAACCCACTACCAGCTCTAAACCTCTTTCTCCCTCAAGGAGGGTCAAAGCTGGGCAGACAACTCAAAAGGTGTCTACCAGAAGCCAGACTAAGAGCCCTTTCAGAAAGTGGTCTCTCAGCTCCATTGGGCCCTCACCATTCTCCTTTGTTTTTCCTCCCATGTGTTGCCTCCTTAGGAAGAAGCATAGAGAGGAACCTGTGAGCAAAGCCTGGGACAGGAAATGATACACAGAAAGCCCAGGCTGGCTCCGAAGTGGGCTGGGGAACAAACCAGGCCTCCGGGGCTCCGTCTCATGAGGCCAATTTTTGCCTCTCCCTTTTTAAACAATTTATTTGCAAAAAGAAAGTGAAAGGTTGGAACTTTAGGTACTGATGCCACCCCTGAGATAAAGTAATTTTCACTTCGTGACTGCTGCCTCTTCCCTTCCCATGGGAGCTTGTTAGGAAACATCCAAACAAACAACCAAATGAACAAACCAACCAACCCATTGTGAAAGATTCTGACTCACGGTGATCCCTTGTGTTAGAGAGTAGAACTACACCACAGAGTTTTCTTGGCTGTAATCTTTATGGAACCAGATCTCCACGCCTTTCTTCTGTGGAGCAGCTGAGCGGGTTGAACTGCCAACCTTCAGGTTAGTAGTCGATTGTACCACCCAGGGCTAAGAATTTACTCTTCCAGCAAAGTTCCTATTTGCAGAGACCCCTCACCAGGCCCACTCCATGCTCACCAATACTAGGAAGCTGCCCTCTGGACTCGTGCTCCAGGGTCAAGACCTTGGCCCCAGACATCTCTGTTGTCCCAGCTTCAGTAGTCTGTGATCCCCTGGGCATTTCTCATTGGTTAGACTCCTTTCCTGGGCCCCAAAGGTAGTCAATGTCCCCCCTCCAAGTGGACACTCTCGCCCACCCCACTTGCTCCTATAGCCCGTCAGTTCTGGCTATGCTGAGCTCCCTTGCCTGGGGCCAATTCTCAGGAGAGGGATGTAGAAACAGGGTGTGTTTAAAGCCCGCGTAGACAGCTGCTGTCTAAATAGCCAAAACCTTCTGTTGGGCACATGGGTCAGTGGGGCCAGTCCCTGGTCTCAGGGAGTGGAAGTCCTCATTCAAGTGTAGAACAGCTCTTTACACAGAGCTGCTCAGGCCTTGGAGTTGGACAGCCTGGGTTCAGATTCTAGCTTTGCCACTTACTAGTGGTGTGATACTAGTAGCTCTGCCACTTACCAGCAGTGCCACTTACTAGCGGGCTGTTTTAACTAAGTGAGCTAACTTACAAAATGGCAATAATACCAGGCATGTAGCAGAGTTTAAATAAGATAACTTAGCACAGTGCTTGGCACATAGTAAGTGTTGAGTACATTATTAATTAAGGTCCCTGGGTGGCACAAGGAGTCCTGGTGGTGCAATGGTTAAGCACTCTGCTGCTAACCCAAAGGGTGCTGGTTCAAACCTACCAGCCGCTCCATGGAAGAAAGACGTGGCAGTCTGCTTCTGTAAAGATTCCAAAGCCTTGGAAACCCTATGGGGGCAGTTCTACTCTGTCCTATAGGGTCCCTGTGAGGTAGAATCGACTTGATGGCAGTGGGAACGGGGATGGTGCAAATGGTTTGTGCTTGGCTACTAACCAAAAGGTTGGTGGTTTGAATCCACCCAGTGGCACCTCGGATAATGCAAAATTACAGCCATTTGAAAATGCTGTGGAGTGCAGTTCTACTCTGAAACACGTGGGGTCGCCATGAGTCGGAAATGGCTCGACGGCAGTGGGTTTGGTTTTTTTGGTTTTACATGTTATTATTATTGATATTTCTCCCTAAATGAGTCAGTCTTGGAAGAGCTGCTAAAGAAATTCAAGACCCAAGTGTACTACATATAAAATATTTTATTATAAAAAGCTCAGTTGCACGGCATTTTAGAAGGAACGTTGTACAGCTTTCCTTCTTTGCAGTTACATGGGAGACAGAGCCGTAAAGTGTACCAATTAGGACGATTATCTTATTCATCATTTGCCAGAGTTCATCAGGCCTTGGGCCCTCAAAGAACCAACAGCATCTGGGCTCTGAGTGAACCACCACCTGGGCCTCACCTCTCGCAATCATCCCCCCTCTTGTTTCGCTTAATTCATGAAATGCCCCATGTCCTTTCTACAAAGCTGAATCATATTTCCTATCCACAGCTGAAGACTCCAGTGAAAAAAGCAAAGGCAGAACTTGTTTTCTTTTGGAAACAAAACAGTTCTAGTGGAAGCAACACAAAAATCACCACGATCTAAACCAGTCGCTGGGTGTCCTTTCTTACTCGATAAGAGGAGTGTTCTCATCAACAATTCTGAGTTGAGGAAGGAAGAGGGAGAAGACGCATATGACAAGCCCTTTGACGTGATCCACAAAACATGAGATTCAGAGGCACCTCTCTTCCCAGTTTGCCTGCTACATAAGGTCCTGTGGCATGTCAGAGTCACTCACACACATAGAACACCCCCCCAACACCCCATCCAAAGAGTTAAATTTGCATCCAGCCCATCTGCTCCTTGGTGTGGCTGAAGTGGCTTTGTGTGGAGTCTGTGGTGCCGAGGGTGTGAGTGGACCGCAGGGCGCATGGCTGAGGGGAAACTCAGTCAGGTGACCGGGCATCTGGGGTCTTCTCCCGGACCTCATCGTACTGGGGAGGGGGGGTCAGGGGCTCGATGGAGGGAGGAGGCATGTTCTTGTCCGGGAGGTTGATCCTGAAGTTTCTGAGGTGAAGCTTTTCGGATTTAATCCTTCGAACTTTCAGAGGCTTCAGGCGTTTGGCCAGCTTGGAGTTCTGTCTGTCCGGCGGGTTCCCTGGGCCAGTTTCCACATCGGCCCTGGTGGTCGTGGGAATCGTCTCATTGAGCCCTGTCAAGGACTCGTAGGAGGGGAGGGAGATGCTCATCCTGGGGTTCTGGTCCAATTCCCTCACTCCCGAGTAGTTTGTGTTCATCACTTCGTCGTAACTGGGGACGTAGTACCTCGAGGAGACCTCCTCTTCCTCCTGGCTGCAAGACAACAAACAGCGGCACGCAGTGTTAGTCCCCGTTTAGACCACTTCAGATCACACATAAAAGGGCTCCAAAGCCCACGTCGGCACTGGGTCCACCAGACCTCGTATACCAGCCATGCAGATAACCAATGGGCCCTAAAGAGTAATAAAAGCTAACACTTAAAATGTTTACTATGGGCTGGGCACTGTTCTGCATACTTTAACATATACGAACCAGTTCAATCTGCTTAACAACCCTAAACTGAGGGCAGTAGTGGTTCTGTGGTAGAATTCTTGCCTTCCACGCGGATGACCCAGGTTTGATTCCTGGCCAATGCACCTCATGGGCAGCACCACCCACCTCTCAGTGGAAGCTTGTGTGTTGCTATGATGCTGAACAGGTTTCAGTGGCGCATCCAGACTAAGATGGACTCAGAAGAAAGACCTGGTGATCTGCTTCCGAAAATCAGCCCATGAAAACCCTGTGGATCACAACGGTCCAATCCTGTTGTGCATGGGGTCACCATGAGTTGGGGGCAGACTCGACAGCAGCTAACAACAATAATAACACTATGACATATGTTCTATTGTTATCTCCCTTTTATGGATGAAGAAACTGATACACTGAGGCTAAATGACTTAGTCATACCTTTAGGAAGAGGGCAGGAAATAAAGACCACACCCTGAAGTATTGCACTCTATTATCTGGGTGTTAAAGCCCTCTTGCCCTCACCCTCACACTTAATAACAAGCCAGATGGGCTACTCCAATGCCCAGGAGGTCCTTTGGCCAAAGGCAACATAAAAATGTAGCTGCCAATATGAAGCAAAACGGTTGTCCCCAGGAAGAGAAGGAATATCAAAAATATAAAATTTATACGTATCTCAAATTATTCTGTAATTTTATTTTCTGAGTTCACCATGAGACTCAAGGGACAGGTCAGGTCCTCAGCCTTATTCTCACTTCACTGTGGAAAGAGAAAACTGAAAAGGCAGGACGTGTCTCCTTACACGTTGTTGTTATTGCCCTTGAGTCATCCCTCCCCTCACCCAGTCTCACGGTGACTCCACACACGACAGGATCAGACTGGTGAGATCCATACAGTTTTCACTGGCTGATTTTCTGTAGATCACCAGGCCTTTCCTGCTAGTCTGTTTTAGTCTGGAAGCTCCAATGAAACCTGTTCAGCATCACAACACCATGCAAGCCTCCACTGATGGATGGTGGCTGTGTATGGGGTTCATCGGCCAGGAATCAAACTTGGGTCTCCCACATGGAAGGGGAGAATTCTACCACCAAATCACCAATGTCCCCCTTTGACACATTAAATAGGGAGTACAGCCAATAACCATTTTCCAGGACCCTAGACTTGAACCTGGGTGGGGTGGGGCGGGGTGGGGGGGAGACAGTGGCCAACATCAGAAACTTCGTTTAGTTTTGCATATTAATTAAGGTCCCTGGGTGGCATGAGGAGCCCTGGTGGTGCAACGGTTAAGTGCTCGATTGCTAACCCAAACATCTCTCTCTCCATATTAACCTCATTGGCCTAGCTGTCCCCTCAGCCTCCTTATGAACTCGTGTGTGCTTATGACTAGGCTGGGTAATTATGGGTGATTGATTTTTTCTTCTTTGTTCTTTTCTAAATAAGTATGTATTATCTTTTATTATCAGAAAACTAAGTTTAATTTTCCTAAAATGAAAACAATTCCACTCCTACTATAAAGCTAAGACATGCTTGTTGTAGAAAATTCAAGTGACACGGAAAAATCTAACAAAGTAAAAACGTCCCTGTGATGGTTAATTTTATGTGTCAGCTTGGCTAGGCCATGGTGCCCAGTTGTTTGGTTTTCAGATGCTGTCATGAAGTAGTTGTTATGGATTGAACTGTGTCCTCCAAAAATGTGTGTCAACTTGGCAAGGCCATGATTCCCAGTATTGTGTGGTTGTCCACCATTTTGTCATCTGATGTGATTATCCTAATGTGCTGTAAATCTTAACCTCTATTAGGCAAATGAGGCAGGATTAGAGGCAGTTATGTTAACGAGGCAGGACTCAATCTACAAGATTAGGTTGTATCTTGAGTCAATCTCCTTTGAGATATAAAAGAGAATCTAGTAGAGAGGAAAGGAACCTCATACCCTTAAGAAAGAACAGCCAGGAGAATAACATGTCCTTTAGATTCAAGGTCCCTGTGCTGAGAAGCTCCTACAACAGGGGAAAATTGATGACAAGGATCTTCCCCCAGAGCTGACAGAGAGAGAAAGCCTTCCCCTGGAGCTGACGCCCTGAATTCGGACTTTCCATCTCCTAGACTGTGAGAGAATAAACTTCTGTTTGTTAAAGCCATCCACTTGTGGTATTTCTGTTATAGCAGCACTAGATGACTAAGACACATGTGGTTAAATTAGATGACCTTAAGAAAAGCAGATCACCTTCCATAACGTGAGTGGGTTTCATCCAATTAGGTGCAGGCCTTAAGAGCAAAAAGGGAATTTTCCCTAGGGAGTATTCTACCTCCAGACCATAAATAGACATTTTGCCAGAAGCTTCTACTCTTCCTGTTGCCTGACCTATGGATTTTGGGTCACAAGACTGATGGAATCTCCAGCCTATTGCCTAACCTACAGATTTTGGACTTGCTAGCCCCCACAATCCTGTGAGCCAATTCCTTAAGAGAAATCTCTCTTTCTGTCTCTCTTCATATAAAATCAACCAGTTGCTGCCAGGTTCACTCCAATTCATGGTAACCCCATATGTGTCAGACTAGAACTGTGGTACATAAGGTTTTCAATTGCTGAGTTTTCAGAAGTAGATTGCCGGGTCTTTCTTCTGAGGTGTCTCTGGGTAGACTTGAACCTCGAACCTTTTGGTTAGCAGCCAAGCACATTAACCACTTACACCACCCAGGGACTCCTCTCTATACCTTCCTACCTACCTACCTACCTACCTATCTATCTATCTTACTGGTTCTGTTTGTCTAGAGAAACCTGTCTAAGACAGTCTCAAATCCCATCACCTGGAGATAAACGCTGTTAACATTCCAGTATATATCTTGCCAATCCCTCTCTAATCCCACATTCACAACATTTTACATGATTGGGACCTTACCAAAGATGCTGTTTTATAACTTCTTTAATTCAGTGTTGGATACGGTCCCACATTAACAAATATAGGTGAACAACAGCTGCACAGAACGCCATTGAATGGATTTGTCATTAATTTGACTTGATTGATGGATACTTAGGTTGTTGTCAGTTTTTGCTATTTTAAACAATGATCCCTTGTACACTTGTGTGATTGTCTCCCAAGGATAAATTCTTAGAAATAGAATAGATAGGTACACACATCTTTAATACTGTCCCTTATTGTGACACTTCTTCAGGAAGATTATTTCAATTAATATTCCCATCAGCAACCCATCTTCCCTATGACTCTCCAACATCTTGGCCAATATGATGCAAAAATATGACTAATGAGGTTGAAGATCTATTGGTTGAACATCTGTGAAAAGCTTGTTCATCTCCTTTGTCCATTTTCCCACTGATGTGTCCATCTTTCATATTCATTTGTAAAGGGCGCTTTCTATAATAGAGTATTAACCTTTATCTTATCTTCCCTAAGTGATCACTTATCTTTGAAACATTTGTGACATTTCTGGTCAAATAGAACACTTCCTCCCAATTGTACTAGACTGAATTGTGGCCCCCTCCAAAACATATATCCAAGTCCTAACCCCCCGTACCTATGAATGTGACCTTATCTGGAAAAAAGGTCTTTGCAAACGTAATTAAGTGAAGGATCTCAAGATGAGAGCATCCAGGATTAACCAGGTGGGCCCTAAATCCAAGGCAAGTATCCTTCTAAGAAGATGTCTTGGTCATCTAGTGCTGCTATAACAGAAATACCACAAGTAGTTGACTTTAACAAACAGAAATGTGTTTTCTCACAGTTCTGGAGGCTAGAAGTCCGAATTCAGGGCGCCGGCTCTAGGGGAAGGCTTTCTCTCTCTGTCGGCTCTGGGGGGAGGTCCTTGTTCCTTGGTTCCCTGGTGATCTTCACGTGGTGTGGCATCTATCTTCCCTCATCCCTGCTTGCTTCTCTTTGCCTAATCTGCTCTTTTTATATCTCAGAGTGACTGGCGTAAAGCACACCCTGCACTGCTACGGCCTTTCAACATAACAAAGAAACCCATTCCCAAATGGGATTATAACCACAGGTAGAGGATTTACAACACATGTTTTTTGGGGACACACTTCAATCCCGAACAGAAGAAGAGAAACACAGGGGGGAAGGCCATGTGAAGACAGAGGCAGAGACTAGTTTTGGTGCCACAAGCCAAGAAATGCCAGGAGCCACTAGATGCTGGAAGAGGCAAGGAAGGATTCTGCCCTAGAGCCTTCAGAAGGAGTACAGCCTGCTGGCACCTTGACTTCGAACTTCTGGCCTCTAGAACTATGAGAGAATAGATTTATGTTGTTTCAAGCCACCAACCAAAACCAGAAACCAAATCCACTGCCATAGCG